TGAGGTGACAACGAGTTAGCGTTTCAACAGGTGGGTGGTGCACGTTGCCTTGTAAACCACCCCGTATTGATTTTTAATCTGTAATCGAGTAAATGCAAAACCTCCACGGTGGTATTACACTTTCTTATTTAAACCCATATTCCTTTACAAGGTTCCTCAACCCAACAGGACCACAACCCCCTCCAACCACCCTTTGTCAGGCTGTCTATGTTTCGCAATTAACCCAAAATAAATTTCCCCTGAAAAAGTTGAGATTATCTTGTTTCCTCCCCCCCCCCCCCCCGAATAATCACCTGCTTCGGCTCCTTCGTGGGTCAAAAGCCCTCCTTTTATCACATTTTTACAGGCGTATGGTGTCCTCTATATCTCCGTTTCCAATCATTCCACCACCGCAACTAACCTACAACATCGGTGAACCAGAAGATAGATCTCTTATCGCTGCTCCTGCTTATGTCGGGCGCGGGGAAACGCCGGAGTTGCAGCGGTAGAATTGCTTCACCACCTATCCAACGGGATCGCTCCAGATCACGCCACAATAGCCATGCCCAGTACGATGGTGGTCCGGGGAGTTCTGGTCATCGTGGAATGAACTCTCCCCCGGGCTCCCCTCGTGTAGCTTCGCGTTCACCATCTGGAACTCTGACATTTGGCAGTATCCAAGGTCAAATGCAGGGCGGGGATATTCCCCTTCGCGACCCAGCCCGTGATCCCAGAAGAATTCCTAAAATTAGTGATATGTGTCGCAACGTTGATTTACCGGCTGATGCGTATGCACTAAACCACGAGGTAAAAACGTTTTCCTTTTTGTTTCCTCATTGCCTAGATACGGTCAGATGGCCTAGAATCCCAAATTGCCGGTCCTCCACCTACGGCTCACTGGATGGAGAAGTGTTAATTTATCTATACCCCCATTGCTATTTACCTTTCAAGTTAGATTAAGTCAAGTTACCATCTCCATCGCCGAATTTAAGCAGTGCAAATCTCTACATATCATCACTCCCAGGTTCAGAAGTGGGATTCCATTGAATGTGCACTCTGTGGTGAAGCCTTTGTCTTGCTATGTCACGGATACAGGCATTCCCATCCCATTCACAGCTATCCATGATCTTGATCCTCTTCCATTTTCCAGCACCTGTTACGGCCTCATCTTCACCCAGTCAAAGCTCATTCATACTTCCTAATCTGGCGAATGTTCCCCTGCAATTTGGATGGATTTACATTCATCATTTTGTCGACGATAAAAGTTTCGTGCTTTCCGTCCATGGGTTCCTCCTTTCTGTCCTCATGCTTCCAAGCGTCCCGCGCCCCGCGCCCCTTATATATATTCTATCATTACTCTGCTATCTTGTTATTTTTATTTTGTCGCACCCTGGTTCTCCACCATGAGCGGGCCTAAGAGTACCAAAGCATAGATAGCAGATGTGACAACCACGTTTCGTCATGTGTACCTTACTGATGAGCATGGTGGGCAGAGTATGGATAGGAAGGATCTTGCAAAAAGACCCGGCTTTAATGGGACAGGAAAAGAGATCATCACTGCCGTGAATCTATACGCTGTCACACAGTTCCCGACGAAGAGTGTGTACCAATACGATGTAAGATATGATCAGAACTTCGTTGTGCAGGCTTTGGCTTCGGTGCTCAACTCCATCTAGGTACAAGTTGCTGGCACCGACAAACGTGCAGTGATACAAAAGGTGTGGAACTCAAAGACTCGGAAGGCAGTGGTTGGGAACGAGTTTATTTTTGATGGTAATAAACTGGCATGGTAAGCTTTGTAACACTCTAGAAGCATATTTCTCGTTGACTGATATACCATCGTAGGTCGCTTGTTCCGATTAACAAAGAGGTCAATGTCATGGTCGACCTTGATGCTGAGCAGGGGCGTTCTGATTCAAAGATCCCAAATACCTTTCGCCTTGTAGTTCGTCAAACCAAAACGGTAAACCTGAAAGCACTTCATGCGTATCTTAGTGGGACCTGTACGGCTTCGCCGGAGGTGTTTGAAGCTATCAGTTCGTGATTTCGTTTCCTTTTTCCTTTTACCATCCATCTGGCTTAGTCTAACCTCATCCAAGACTTCCTAGATCACGTCTTGCGCGAAACGCCAAGTTCCAGGTTTATTCCTATGAGGCGCTCTTTCTTTAGCCCAGACAATCCAAAGGCTCCTGTTGGTGGTGGTGTTTATGCCTACAAAGGCATCTACCAAGCGATACGCACTGTCCATGTATGTTCCCTTCCACCTTAACCTCACATTATGACACTTGGCTAACATAGCCTTTAGCCTGGAAAACTAGCTGTAAACATCGATGTTTCGAACTCTTGTTTTTGGGCACAAATATCTCTCACAAGTGCAGCGATTGAAGTCCTTGGGCTTCGCGATATCCAACATCTCGCTGCCGTGACCAAACCAGTTGATGATGGACTTGGTGGCCGCGCTTCGTCCCAGAAGTTTCAGCAGTTGAGCCGGTTCCATAAAGTTGCGGTGAAGGCCTCTTACAAGGGTTGCCCCGTTCCAGACAAAGAATGGATCATTAAAGGCTTTCTTCTTGCGAATTCGAAAGAGTACACTATCGAAACTCTTGATGCCGCCACTGGGAAAATGCGTTCTAAGACCATTTTTGATTATTTTAAGACTCGCTACAATGTTGCTTTGACTTACTGGGAACTGCCGTTAGTCAAAATGACCAAGAAAGGGGTTGTCTACCCCATGGAATTTCTTGGGATCCACAAACCTCAGAAATTCCCATTCAAGCTTGATGAACTTCAGACCACCTCGATGATCAAATTTGCGGTTACCCGTCCCGCTGAGCGGCGAAAGGCAGTTGAAGAATCCAAGAGAATCCTTGCACACGGTGGTGATCGAGTCTTGCAGGCTTATGGTTTGAGGATATCGGATTCTATGATGGTGACAAAAGCCCGGTTGTTGCCGAATCCAGAGATCGTCTTTGGGGGAAATCAACGTGTTAATCCTGGAACTTCTGGTCGATGGGATCTCCGAGGGAAAAAGTTCTACAACAAGAACTCCAAGCCGCTAACTTCCTGGGGTGTGGGCGTTTTCCCTGGTCGTTATGTCAATCAACAAGATGTTGAGCGGTTTGTCGATACTTTTGTACGCGCCTATCAAGGCCACGGTGGAACTATTGCTACCACACGACCTTTCATTGGTGTAGTTGACAAGGATCCTGCAGAAGCAGTGTACAACTTGTTCCATAACACTGGAAACAAATTTAACCTTCGCCCAGAGCTCTTGATTTTTGTTGTGAGCGAAAAAAATGCTTTTCATTATTCTCGAATAAAAAAATCGTGCGACTGCAGATTTGGAGTCCCCTCCCAGGTTTTGCAAGCTACTCAGGTGGTTAAATGCAACGGACAATACATATCCAATGTATTGATGAAGGTAAATGCCAAGTTGGGAGGAACAACCGCCAGGGTTTCTTCCAAGATAACGAAAGGTCTTTTGCCATTTACTATGATTATTGGAGCTGATGTTTCTCATTCTGCTCCCGGGAGCCCCGCCCCATCCATGGCTGCAGTGTCAGTATCCATGGACCAATTTGGGGGTCGATATGCGGGCGCTTGTCAAACAAATGGGGATCACGTTGAGATGATTAGCGAAGCTAACGTCGAGTCAATGCTTACTCCCCTGTTTAAGGCATGGTACACATCAGTTGGTCAGGGGAGAGTTCCTCAGAATATCTACTACTTCCGCGATGGTGTTTCGGAAGGCCAATTTCAATATGTTTTAAACGAGGAGATTCCTTCCATCAGGAAAGCCTGGAAGAACCTGAATCGGGGTGTAGAATGGAATGGTAAGATGACAGTGGTTGTTGCATCGAAACGTCACCACATCCGGGCATTTCCCAACCCGAATGATCGAAATGCCTCGAATAAAAATGGAAATCCATTGCCCGGAACTCTTATTGATAAAGATATCACTGGACCCAATGGATGGGACTTTTTCTTGTGGTCTCATATTGCTCTGCAGGGGACAAGCCGCCCCGTGCATTATCACGTTCTTATTGATGAAATGAATCATTCGCCTAAGGACCTACAAAATATGATATACGAGCATTGCTATCAATATATGCGGTCTACGATCTCGGTCTCCCTTTGTTAGTATTCTCTTTCCCCCTGTTCGAACTCCGTGATAGCTAACGAGAGTGTCTTTCTCCAAGTCCCGGCGGTGTACTATGCTCACTTGGTCTCGAACCGAGCGCGTTCTCATGAGAATGTGCCGACCAGCTCAGGCCCCCGCTCAGGGCCAGACGTTAAACAAGGCCAAAAACCCTCACCCTCCGAGCCGCCCAAGTCTGAAGGACGACCACTGCTTCCAATGGCGGCAGGAGGTGATCTGGCACTTAAGATGTGGTATATTTGAAACAAAGTTGGTCGTCTTGGCTAATGATGGACAAGCTGCTTTGCCATGGCTGCTTGCTGTTGTTTTTGGGAGAGGGTTTCGGAAGGTGGATTCGGGAGTGGGCCTTCTATTTTTTGTTTTTCAAATTTCTTGACTGGGAAGATGTCCTTACAGGGGGAGTGGTTAAGCTTTGCTGCTGGGTTGATGATCTGCGAGCGCCTAGCGGCGTGGCTTCTACGAGGTGTCTGGACGATGTTATTGTTTAGTGATGTAGATGCAACGGACTTCGACCTGGTATCCTATGTAGGTAGACGTTTTTCTTATCGGTAGCAGAAATTTAAGTCGGCATACTCCCTTTAATGGCTCTCTGCTTCCTGATGACTTTGTCATGGTTTTTAGTGGCTCTCTCCTCAGTTATTCTCGCAGTTTAGTTTGATACCAGTGGAACAAGGTGAGATTAGACCAAGGAAAACGAGCATGTAGAAGATAAGAACTAGGATGAATATCTTTTGGAGACTAATTCCGCATCCTGGAATATTTGGCGGAGGGTTCTTGTGCATTGCTTTTCTATTTATTTTGTTTCCCTCACTCAACCTGAACCGACCCCGCTTTACTCACCGACTACATTCAAGTTGGGGAAAAGGAAACCATCCAATTCAAACACCCAATTCCTCTCATGCCGTTGCCCCCGTCTCTGCTGGAGCCTCCTCAGCCTTCGCATCATCGCTCGCTGCTCCCTCCGCTACAGTCTTCGCCGGCCTGGGGGGTTTCGGGGTTGGATCGTATATTTCAGAGATATTGTATTTTTTCAACTCGTCATAGTCGCGTCCGACGACACTCATGCCGCATATGTTCTATGGAGGGTTGTGAGGAAAGAACTAAAGAGAGGGATTCTTTTACGGGGAGATATCATGATGGGCGGGGGGTTTTTGCAGGTGTGTATATAAGGGGCATTTGTTCGCTTACCTGGACGATATCGACTAATATCAACGCGTCGTAGTTTTTGAGATCGACGGAGTGGCCTGGTCCGACGATTTTGGCTACGAGGGGGATTACGATGTCTCGATTCCATTCTGTGTTGTTTCTTATGGAGGGTCGGATTGCGTACTACATCGCAGACAGAGAAAAGGGGAGTTAAGCCATGTGTGGTTGCTTTCGGTAAGGAAGAGCGGATGGAAAGAAAATAATACGAAGGGAAGGAAGACGAAACGGAGATGGAATATATATATATAATAAAAATAAAATAAAAATCACCTTCTTCGGTGGCCCGCCGGAGTGGAAATGCGGTTTGAGAACTTCACGGGATAATTGCTCGAGGCCACCGCCCAGGACTTTTTCTGTTCGTGATATAGGTGTTATTCGCTGGATCCAGCGGCTGCGCTTCGTGTCTGGGTTTGCCTGTGCATCTGTGCAGAGGCGGTGGGCGATTTGGACAGGGTCCAGGGATTTATCGATTTTTATGAAGGAGACTTTTGTACAGATATGGGGCAAACGAAATTAGATGTTAGAATTTGACGACTTAAGAAGGGGTTTGGGGTTTGGGGTTTGATCATCAGTAGACGCACGGCATGGAATGTCAAGTTTCACGGTCTGGAAGGGGCTGCTGTCCTTTTTGGATTTGTCTGGTTTCATGTCGTCGACTTCTTTGCGGATTTGGGCCTCGATATCATCTTCTTCATGCTCTTCTTTTTCCTCTGGTTTATTATTAGCATCTTCGGAGGCAGAGGCTGCTCCATCTCGTGTTGATTTCCCTGAGTGTTTGTTCTTTTCCAAGTCCTGTCCATGGTCAGCGGACAACAAGTTAAGAGGGGTGTGGGTAATAAATGGCTAAAACTGACTTGATAGAGCAGGTCTATCATCTCCGAGACACACTTTGCCTCCTTTCCTCTGCTGGAGGTTACAAAAATGCCCGCATCACCTTTTTCGATGACCCGTCTGCAACTCCATTGGCGGGTATTGCTCTTGTTGAACCAGAGGTTTGATTTCTATTACTTGATGTTAGAAAATCCACAACAGAACCGGTGTTTTCAAACCCAGAGAAGATGTGGAGAAGGGCAAGGAGATGATCTAAAACGAATGCCAAAAGGCAGAATTCTGGACCTTGCTCCTCTTCGATAGGTTGCCTCCCCCACCATCATGACATCGTTTTGCGGACCCCGACATGAAGAATACTAATAGCTACCGCAAAGGCAACTATCAAAGGCGGCGTTCCTTTATACTCTATCCGGATTGTCAGTGGATTTTTTTGGGATTGAAGTACGTCCTTTGTGGTGGGGGGGGGGGGGGGGGGGGGCAGGTAAGCGGCGACTTAAAAACGAATGTCAACTGAACAATCATATGCATAACCTAGTTACCTAGAACATCTTAACCCAACTAGTCCATATTGAAAATACACACAGTCGATCAATCTCGAGGTTGGGAGATGGGTTATTGAGTGGGGCCTGACAATTCGTATCTCCTAGTTTCAAGATTGGTTCCACTGCTTCGTGTATATTTGACTGTTTAGCTGCAAGAGTTCTTCCCTTGCTATTATTAATCACGCCGGACTTGGCCTTCCCAGCACGGGACCCCGGCGCTAGGTCGGAACAGGCAAGGCGCCTTCATGTGACCGCGAGAGCTGGCACAACCCAACCCCCGTTAGTCAGCCGCTGCTCGCCTGCGCCCTGCTTCCAAGCGGCTAAACTGGATATCTGCGGCAGCGCGTTGACATCATATATTGCTCAAACCATTTTTTGCTGTACCCAAGTCTTACTTGGTGCCGGGGCAACATGGGCTGGCTCAGGCTATATTAATGGACGGGTTTCTTCCCGTCTCCTTGCATTCCCCAACTTGCCCGCTATTTTCTGCTTTAGAAGTTAACTATAGTTAGCTACCTGGCTAACCTTCCTCGTCGTTTTAACTGTAATTGTTGCGGCTGCATCCTCTCCACAACACACTCCACACTCCAGTTAAGTGCGAACAGTACAACCCCATTGAGCTATAATGGCAACCGATATTGCAAGCAAGGGGCTTATATCTCCCGTCGATGTTGCTGAATATTTGTTTACGCGGCTCCATCAAGTGGGGATTCGATCTATCCATGGCCTTCCAGGTATATATATATATATATATATATATAGAGTCAACCCTCCCTATCAAACTTGGAAATTGGATTGTGGCTCACTTCGCCCTTGTAGGCGATTATAATTTGGTGGCATTAGACTACCTCCCGCATTGTAAGCTCCAGTGGGTTGGCAATTGCAATGAATTGAATGCTGGTATGTCCAATGAACGGATCCCTCGGGGTCGTTCACAACGGTTGCTCCCAACTCCCACTACTGCGTTATCTGTCTGCTAAGACAATTTTCATAGGATATGCGGCCGATGGCTATGCACGCGTACATGGAATGGGAGCGGTCGTCACGACCTTCGGGGTTGGAGAGCTCTCATCCCTCAATGCTATCGCGGGGTCCTTTTCCGAATTTGTGCCTGTTGTCCACATCGTGGGCCAGCCAAACACAGTTTCCCAGCGGGACGGAATGCTTCTCCATCACACTTTGGGCAACGGAGATTTCAACGTCTTTACCAACATGAGCGCCAACATTTCCTGCTATGTCGCCAGGTTAAATCCCATGCAAGACGCCGCAGCCGAAATCGACAACGCAATAAGAGAATGCTGGATTCGAAGTCGACCCGTATACATCGCGCTGCCCACCGATATGGTGAAGCAGAAGGTGGAAGGAGATCGTTTGAAAACTCCCATTAACCTGACACGTCCACCAAACGAGGAAGAAAAGGAAGAATACGTCGTGGATGTGGTCTTGAAATACCTCCACGCTGCTAAATCTCCCGTCATCCTTGTTGACGCCTGTGCCATCCGTCACCGTGTCCTCGAAGAAGTGCAGGATCTCGTCCAGAAATCCGGATTGCCGACTTTCGTCACACCCATGGGGAAGAGCGCTGTTGACGAAACCCTTCCCAATTACGGTGGTGTCTACGCCGGCGATGGCTCCAATCCAGGAGTCAAGGACTGTGTTGAATCATCCGATCTAATTCTTAACATCGGCTCCATTATGTCCGACTTCAACACAACAGGGTTTTCCTACCGCATTGGCCGTATGAATTCAATTGACTTCCATAGCAACTATGTCGCCGTCCGCTACTCCGAATATCCAAATATCCACATGAAGGGCGTTCTCCGGAAAGTGGTTGATCGGATGGGAAAGTTGAACATAACCCCCATCCCGAAAATTGCAAACCAAGTACCAACAAACGAACGTCTCTCAGCGCAATCACCCATAACACACTCGTGGTTTTGGCCTACGGTTGGTCAATGGCTTAAGGAAAAGGACGTTGTGATAACCGAAACGGGCACAGCCAACTTTGGCATTTGGCAGACAAGATTTCCCAAGGGCGTCACTGCCCTTAGCCAGGTTCTATGGGGAAGTATTGGGTATGCTCTGGGTGCTTGCCAGGGTGCTGCCCTCGCAGTGAAAGAGAAGTTTGATGGCAGGCGAACGATATTGTTTATTGGCGACGGGAGTTTCCAGCTCACGGCGCAGGAATTGAGTACCATGATCAGGCACGAACTCACTCCTATCATGTAAGTTTCAAAGTCCACTTCCTACTTCGACGCCCCTTGCCCTGTGTATATCCCTAGAGTCTATGAGTTTTAGCATCCTCGCTGACAAAACCTCCAACAAATATAGCTTCGTAATATGCAACGACGGCTACACTATCGAGCGATGCATCCACGGCTGGGATGCGGTATACAATGATATCCAAGCCTGGAAATTTAAAGATCTCGTGCCAGCTTTTGGAGCCCAAACTGATAAATTCAAAACCTACTCGGTCAGGACGGAGAAGGAATTGCTAAATTTATTCGCGGATGAGAGGTTTTCTTCTGCAAAAGTCCTCCAGGTAAGGTTTTTATGTCCTCTCCTCCGGAATCTCTTCATTCATCCAAATTCATAAGCTCCATTTTGATTTCCTTTTTCCCCTCTTTCCCTTTTTTTTTGGGGGGAAAATCCTTCAAAACTTCAACTAAACATTTTCAAACTGCAGCTTGTCGAACTACACATGCCCAAAGAGGACGCACCGGCCACATTGAGGCTGACTGCTGAAGCAGCTGCAAAAGCCAGCACCAGGAACAAGTAATAATCTAGTTTTCACCCACCCACTTACCCTCGATTTAATTTTCTGTTGTTGGCATAAATATATGTCGATGTGTATTTATCATCGGAGTGGCTGAGTGCGTATGATGGGTTAAAAGAGTAAAAAGCAAAGTTGACGCTTCTCAATTAATACTTTACTATCAAACAACTATATGCGGATATTTTCTTTCTTTCTTTTTCTTTTTCTTTTTTTTTTTAACAAAAAATTAATCAAATATATGAACAAATAAACAAGACTGGTCTTAGCTAGCAAATGAGTAAAAATGAAATTAATTGAAGAGTTTGTCGGTAACGTTATTTGCCATATAATACCAATGCGGGAATGGACCGGAAGCGGAGAGAAACCTAGATAACGGACTCACCCAGGGAGAGGGAGGCGGCAGCACAGTGCAACAAGTGTAAGTGGTTGGACGGAGAAGAGCTAAGAGATAAACAAGAAACCCTGACTCGGTAAGGATAGGTGGCAAAGCGTGGTTCTGGAAAAATTTGACAACCACACATGGCCCGGTAGGTTTGCAATAAAATCCAAATGAACAGCTGAGTTGATAGATAAAGCCCCATTCAGCCCAAGAATTATTCGAGACCCAGCAAATCTAGGTAGAAAATCCAGCCAAACTTGTAATCAAATAAAAACATTCCATCAATCAACGCTATATGGGTTGAATCTTTTGCTAGATTTATCTGGCTGAGAAAAAATTTACGTGGCAGAAAAATAAAAAAAAAAAAAAAAAAAAAAAAAAAAAAAGATCGAGGTAGAAGCAACTTACATGCAAACAAAAAAGGGAGAAAGCAAATAAGCGGTGCAAGTGAACAGGGATATGGGTCTATGAACGAGAAAAATATCCAACAAAAAAGGGCTCTCATTACGGGATGAGGGGGAGGTGACAAAACTAGGAGAGACAAAAAAAACAAGAGGGGGGGAGGGATCTTGCGTAAGGAACGTCACTGGTAGGAGCATCGTCATTAAACCATGATGGTATGTATATACATGCAGGAAACAAATCAAACCACAATAACGCAAGAAGAAAGAAGAATTAAAGTCGTAAAGCGTAGGCCGTGAAATTCCTGAAACGATGAAAGTTTTGCTCATTTCGCCCCTATCTCACTTCTAATGTCATTACCAACGTCCATGTTACATGGTATTGGTAGACCTTAGCACTGATTTGTTGGAGTGTGGGAGGAGGATAGATAGTATTCCGCTGTATCCACTCGAGTAACAAGAAATTGATAGCTTTTTGTCCGCTGCTATTGATAATGGGGAGGGGGACATTATCTCCTGTTGTTTCCTTCGCCTTATAACCAGGCATTCGTCCACTGACTCCACTCAATATTCCCATCTTCCAATGCCCCTGCATCTGCATCTGCAGTTGTATTCCCCCCTCTTGTGCCATCGTCCCCGGTCCCTACCACTATATTTCCAAGGAGATCATCCAAATTATCAACCATATCCATTCCCATCCCCATCCCCATTCCGAAACCATGGATTTCGGACATTTGATGATCGCTAGCAGCTTGTTGATCAACCTGCTGATAAGAGCGTCGCTGCTGTTGTAGCAACAGCTGGTGTGAGTCGAAATTCTTCCAGAAGAAAGATTCATCCATTGAGATAAGGTCGGGGCTTTGTAATAGTCCTCCAGGTGATGGAGACGTCGATTTGGGAGACATTTGTTGTCCAATTGTCGAGAGTTGCGGGAACTGATTTAAGTGGTATGGCAAGGAAGATGTCGGGGTGACTGCATCGTGGTTGTTTGGGTTGGAGAACGATTGGAACCCGTGTAACGGGTCACAGGATGGGATAGAAGCACTTGTTGGATTCGCGGGGGTATTGGTTAGATATGATGATCTGAATCCGAACTGTGCTCCTGCGATGTTGGTATCGTTCTTGAAATGATTGTTTTCAAGAGTTGACATGGGTTGAGTTGGATATGCGAAGGGATCGTCGGATGGGAACATCATTGGCATTAAATCAGGAAGATAGGCCATACTATGCATTGGGAGCGAGAATGATGCCCCATGCTTAGGAGATAATGGTGAGGAAGAATGCAGCTGATTTTCTTGTTGCTGTTGGTGCTGTTGCTGGTGGTTTTGCAGTTGGAAATGTGGCTTTGGAAGCGACTGAGGAGATGTAGAATTGGGTAAAGAAACCGACGACCGAATCTCTTTATCCTTGGCTGATGGTGCTCTTGGAGAGGTGTGTGGGTGGCTGAGCGGAGATTGCTCATTTACTCGCCTCGCTCCCCCTCTACGGTTTACATGGTGATTATGATCAACGCTTGTGGGTAGCTGCTTGGCCTTTTCAGGTTGCTTTGATGCGTGTGACGTGAGGAGATGAACAGGAAATGTCCTTGCACGTTGGGGGGAATTTAAGTCAACATTATCTGCGGCGGTAGCGGGATGATGAGGAATCATTGTCCCTTTTGATTTGGGAGCTGATGGTGGGGCAGGTTGAGCACGTTTCCTGTTCAAGTGCATAGGGGTGCTTCGTCGATTTTGCAACTTTTCAGGTAGGTGTTTGAAAATAGACTAAAGGTATTGAGATCAGCATGGCCACGTCCGCGAAATGGATTACTTCTGTCTCGAGGAGGGAAAATGGCAAAAACAAACATTTAAACTCTGAGCGCACCGATCTGCGGCCATGCTATTCTTAGCAAGCCCTGCAAGTGCATTCTTGCCTTCAAGAGCATCTTTCAGAATCCCGTCCTTGACTGTGGCAGATTCAGGATTTTCAAGGATGAAAAACACGAGTGACAAAACCGCAAAGTACGTCGTGTACATGGTAAACCAATAGGAGCCATTGAGAAGCTTCTTCTCCTTCATCCCGGCTGTAATGTGAACGACGTTACGCGCCACACTCACACATGCGGCAGCGCATGCAAATGACCTCTTATCAATCTTCCTGTCCTGGGAGTTACCTGTAACGTAATGAAGAAACGGACGATACATAACCATCTGCACGTGGGCGTAACCAATACGGAGCAATTGTCTCATCCTTTTTATCAAAAAATTGAGTCAGCGAGAGAGTAAACACAAGAGCTCGTTTGTATGTACGCAGGGGGAACAGAACAGACCTCTCAATTTCAGGAGCGGCGTCCCCTCCGGGTCTGAATGAATCAGGAAGATCTTCTTGCCAAGCCTGCAGGTCGCGCTCAAGTTCGCGAATTTTGGAGTGGCTCACCGTATAGGTATGGTTTTCGCCTTGGCTTGCTATTTTAACAGGGTAGATATACTTCACAACCTTCATGACAATGTGGCCGAGTCCAATATGAGCATTCACGCCAGTCATCAGAGTGACGTGATTGGGAGGCATTGGTAAAATCCTTTCCGCAGTGATGAACTCATCATCGACAGCTTGTGGATATTCTTGGTCGATGTCGTCCTCACTCAACATAGACGGCAGACCTAGAATAGTACTTACATGGACATCCATTTTCCGTACAACCCAGAATACCCGCTTTCGAGTTTCTAGTTCGATTGGGTTAAAATTGGCCGAAACGGATCGATGAAGTCCAAGACGGAGCGAGGCACGTAGCGCAATACCAATATAGGAATAACAGGTGCTCATATTTGCTGATGACTGGAGGAAGAGTATCATGAAGCAGATGGCTTGCAAAGAGGTAAGATCACGACATTCGGTGATATCGAGAAGTTGTCGCCCAACCCTAAAGTATTGAAATCTTTTTCAAGTTGTTAGCAAACGCTCAAAATGCATTGAAAAGTTGAAAGAAAATGCCAGGAAAAAAAAAAGAAAGAAAAAAGAAAGAAAAAAAATAGTAGTACCCCTGATCTGTTGCGCCTTCATAACCCGATTTATCCAACGTCGTATCGCCAACACCCCGAAAAAGGCAGCCCACAGCAAGAGCAAGATATAATAAGGGTAGAAAGCTATTCTCTTCGTTGGAGAAATTCTCCGGGGGGGTGTCGTAAATTCGATCGAACATGGCATAAAACGTAGGCTTATGCAAAAATCGCATGATGCAGCAAGCATCTTCGAGGGCATTCATACAAAGTTTACGAGCAACCTCTCTTTCCGGAAGATCATGGACAGGAGACAGGTGAGAGTCACTCGGAGATTCTGAAGGGGCTTTTGTTCCCTCCAGAATATGGGATATATTTTGGAACTTCGTTTTAGGCCGATCTTCTGGGCGGGGATCTGGCAGATTCCCAAACTGTTTCCGTAGGCGACGCATGAAAATTAACCCTGACGAGTGGCCGTGGTAATCCCAATGCCCTTGGTCATCACGGTCAAGCAAACCTGAATTGTCGACCATCGATTCCAAAAGTGACTCCTCGCACCGTTCTTGGCCCACTGGCGGTTGTGTCGGCTCGGGGTCAGTGTTATCAGATATTTTCAGACGGTCCCTTAGGCGGGACCGTATCTCCTCCGGCCCATGCACATCAAAACGTGGATCATTGAGATCAAGATCTGGAATCACTGCCCGAAGAATCGCCTCTGCTTTGCGTACACGATTTTCGAGGGCTTCGATGTACTGAGGCGCAGGATTTCTTCGTCTGTTTGAAGGCTGGTCATACGTGCAATCTAGGCAATACCAAAATACTGGAGTCAACGATAACTCCTGTAAAAAATGATTGCAAGTTCAGCTGTTTGCCATACCATAACTGTAAACAGTACAATGAGTGCATGGCTGTTTGCCGTCGCATTTAATTTTTTTCCGTCTACACTCGTCGCATGCTCTAGTCACCCTTCGTCGCTTTTGCAACGGCGGCAGCTTAGGCGGCAATGACTCGGAATCTGGACTTTTCTCGTCTAGTGGGTTATCATCTGTATCCGTAGGATTTGAGCCGTGCCAATCGTGGACTTCATAAGATTCTTGCCGCTGACTCGTCGTATCGTGTTCATTCCCAGCACCACCATGCGCAACCGTAGCACACTCTCGAGATGTCATGATGGAAACTGTGTCTCCGCTTTTTTACAGTCACATCGGAACCGGCCGTATACTGCCCCTGGGATTATGGGGTTGCGGGGAAATGGTCGTCGTGGACCCTTCCGCTGCTGAGGCGGGCGTTACAAGTTCTGGTCGTGGTGTCGAACTGGGACATATCCAGGCCGCAGAAAGTTGCCAATCGGTGGCTGAATACTGTAAATCCCGGACATGAGCAGTTAGATATGAGCGCCGAAGACATTATTACGGGAGAGGAAATCATGATATCAGAGTTTCAAACATAGATGGGTGGGGGATGGTTATTCGTGATAGGGCGCAGAGTCATCGAACACTGACAAAGCAGGATTGGAAGAGTGCGGGAACTTACAAATCGATCAAGGACAGCCCGCGTGGGGTAGATCAGAACTAAATGGGGTAGACCAGAACTAAATAACGGCGCAAGCTGTGGACGAGGGTAAAAAGAGAAAGAAAGCGGAGGGGAATGAAAAAGGGGAAGATCGATAAAAACCGCCGCAACTCTAACCTTATTGATTGACCAAGGCCTGACCGAAGCGAAGGCGCCGGATTCAAGATCAAAGCATAACTACGATACGATAACTAGCGAAGCTTTGGTTGGCTTAAGGTACCTTAGCCGTACGTACCAACCAGCAGAGGCTTAGCGCTAAGTGGCGCCCATCCAAGAGGTTCCCGCGGGAATCGTCTTGAGAAATCCAGAAATTCCGCACGATCATATAACCAGTGGAAGGCGGATATTTTGGAAACAAGTCAGTTTGCGTCGGATGGCGGCGTGGAAACAAGCAGGCAAACCAATTACAAATCCAAGGACGTTCAGTCGGACCGGCCCAAGGCAATTTCACCGAGCCAGCCATCGCTGGAAATGAGCCAGTCATCTGCCAAAATGCATCCCCAAGGTCGCGCCAGTCTGCAAGCCTTCTCCCCAATGAACTCTAACTCTCTGCTTACAGCATGGGTGAGTGTAGTTACGCTTCACAAGGTTCCAGAAGAGGCAAAATTCTCCCCTCCCCCAGCGTGGAAGTAAGTTACGTAACTACAGGGGATGTATGAAGGAACACTGCTATTAATCAAAATTCGGGGGGGGGGGGGGGGGGTAAGGATTATTAAAGAAAAGAACATAGAAGAAAGAAAGAGAGAGAGAAAAGATCTGCGAGGAACGTCATTGTTTTTGTGACTCTGTTTGAAAGTAATAGATCCGACAATACTGCTGTTTAGGCAAATGCTCCCACGACTGACATGCATGCAGCTGGTTTTCCAATCAATATCAGCGGGGATGAGCTCTTTTAAAGATGGGATGAACTTACCCCCCATGAAAATAAACAAGACTCCCGAAAGCTTCTGTCTTTTGCTCATGCTGAGACCCTCTGGAGACAAGAAATCTTCCGCAAGAAGATCCACGGTTGCTGCATAAATTAGGAGGCCGGAAGATCTGCCAAAGAAGAAAACAAGAACTGGAGTTAGGAAGAGGGATCGGACATAACTATCCACAAAAGAGAACCTACATGGCATTGAAAACTCCAACCACGATCAAGGCAAACGCGCTCGCTGGATCATAGCTTGTGCGAGCTACAAGGCCAATGGCTTGGCCAATTGGTGCAGTGGTGCCGAATGCAATGGCTAGAATCCAAGGACGAAGCGATTTCTTTGGATATGGCACCTGGGCGATTCGGGAGCCCAGCCCGAGCCCCTCGAAGGCCTGGTGGAAGAGAATCGCAATGAGCAGGATAATGAAACCTTCTGACTCGATTGAAACAGTGATGCCAACGAATACTGAATGGAACAAGATACCGCCTTCGAGGATGGTAATGTTGAGAGACATCTTTTTGTAGATAGCGGTATCAACACCAGGCTCCAGATCGGGCGAGTCGGGAGCCTTTTCGACTTTCTTCAGCTTGGATTCTTGCATTGTCTGGTCCTGGAGCATACTGTGAGTCCACTCGCGCTCGCGGATATACTGTTCATAAAACGCGATAAACCAGGGAGGCATCTCAGATTGAGAATCCGCATATGCACGGTCAAAAGCTGTCGGCGACGTAAACTCGCTGAAAAGTATTGCAAATTAATATTCATTTCACAGAGGAAATGTGCCGATACATACCGTGACTTATACAATGTTTTGTCGTCGTCCCAATCATCATTCGTCGATTTGTTCCTATAACGATTTTCTTTCGGCCACGAAATTTCTCCACGATCGCTATGACTGATACTGCTCCTACTGCCACCGCCACCACCACCACCACCACCACCATGATGTCTGCCGTGGCCAAGGCCACCGTGCAGGATATCTTGCCCCGTCGCACCACCGTGGCTATGCCCCCCTATTTTCGTATTCATCCACAACTCAATACAAAAAAGAGAAAGCAAAGCGGCAAGCATAATAACCCCGGGCATAGCAGGATACTGCTCTGTAAACAACGGGGGCAGACATGGGTCATTTAACGATAAGAATGCGGTCGGAAGCAACTGTTGTTGTTAGCCCTCCCCTTGTCATACCTGCCTCTGACCTCTGAAGAGATAATTACATGAACACAAGCAGTTGCAATAAGGACACCAGTTCCAAAATGTTTGCAGAAGAAGAACGCTTTTGGTGGAATCTTCATCGACGGGAGCTTCTTCGCGGCCACAGGGAAACCACATGCTGAGAAACGGTAAGTGAGTTATGGCGATTTCAACAGGGATAGATTAAGGCCTTACAGATCGTGCTGACCGCGAGCACCAGGACTGAGATATATCAGATGTATGGTCTTCTGCATTGCAATACATCCCCTCTAATATGGGAATACAACGTACAAAGTGCAACGATATGAATGGGCAGATCATAGTCTTCGGCAGCTTCTCCAGAACCGCACTGCGGGCGCTCCATTCCTCCTTCCATGGCCCGTATGGAGTTGAAAGAATGGAAGCTTACAAAGAAAGGCTGAAGAAGAGATAAAATCTGACCGGCAGTCGATGAGAAACCAGATCACAACAAAAGATCAAATGGCATTGACCGGCAACGCCCCAGGCAAAAATGTATAAAATATTTCAAATCATACCGATATTAAGAGGGAAAAGGATCTTGGGATGCTGGACGGTCAACCTCGATGTGCACAGGAATAAATGAACGTTGAAATCGGTGTTAATTAGGTCAGATTGAAAATCTCAGGCGGGTCTCCCAGGCTCTTAGTAAGACACCGCCAACAGAAGAGGGACTACCACTGGAACATCGGAGACTGCTTAGGGAGGGGTCAAACCGCTAGTATATCACAAGGCAGGGGAGGTATTTGCAATTCTGAGGCAGGTTACCGACCAAAGCGGCTGCTCTATGCCCAGACAGCATGCGCGACATGAATCACTAGTTACTCTGTAAGGTTCGACAGGTGTGATAAACGAGCTTGAAAAACGACAACTGACAAATCTTGCTACGAAGGGCGATGCAAAAGAATGGGAGGGTATATATCTCTTCCACTGAATAAGCTGGGAAATAACAGAGTGGATAGATGTCAGGAGAGAATACACTCTGCAGTCGCTCCATCTTGTTCCATAGCTCGACACGACTTTCTTGGAGAAGGTAGGGCAAAGGAGCTGCGAGGATAGAAGAAAAACGACCCTCACCGCAAGATCTCGATCAGTTGTCTATTTCCATAGTTTGCAGGCCGCAGCGATAAAACTCTCTCTACTCATGTTATGTAGCCGCGATGTCCCAGAGGCCTTGAGATGTCTCACCTCCCTCCTATCTACCCTCTGTTAGAGGGACCAGAGCTGACCCGGGGAAACAACAAGAGGTCCGGCACACGACTGCGCCTCTGTCAGAGGGGTCCTCGCCAAGGACAGAGGAGGTCGCAGTCATAAACGTCGAATGTGTGGGGATCATCGAATGGAAAGATAATCTGATGCAGAGCATGTTTGAGCACAGTGACCTCTCAGGGGAAGAAGCGCAGGGTCTCGCTTCCAACGGTTGACGGCAGCACGGCTGATGTCAGGTCGAAATGCCAAGTCCCGCGAAGAACGCCAAGAGACTATTACCTTAAAACCCAGATTAGCCTGCTTGTCACGTTACGTCCGTTGGCAGCTCTCTTGTTCAACCTGCAACAACAACAACAACAACAACAACAACAAGTCTTGCGTTCATCTCAAGGCCGGTCGGTGTCCAGGGCATTCCTCCCGATGGTCAACCAGAAGCAACGCTGCGGGCATACAATGAAAGGACTACTTGTTGTGGTTGATGAAAATCTGTTCTCGGTCATTTCTTCTACCATGACAAGCCCAACCAAATTAACTACGTCACTTGCAATTTCACGGAGCAGTAGTCGACCTTGTCGAAATCGAGGATCGTGAACAGCTAGCGATTCAGGAGAGTAAATAACGATAATCTTTTATGTTAAAAGCCAATATCAATTAGAGCGAGTATAGCTACCTCTTAATTTACCGAGCATGAGAAGATTCCCAAGGGCGCCCGGTTGGTGCTACACCTACACTGCAGCGCACGCATCCCGAATATTTTCCCGCCATGACAGGTGGGTAGTTAAAAGCGGCAACTGGGGAGTTGAAAGTTAAGGATGTGTGAAGTTCTCTGCCAGACAGAAATAGCAATCCAAAATTGCGTTCTTCTACTCCGGCTGGGCGATAGTAACCCTTGGAAGTACTTCCTCTCGAATCTAGTTATTCTTGGAGACGTCTCCGGGAAACGGCGCAAGATGGCCATTCCCCAAGCGGACCTGATAACTACCTCCCATTGCCGCCCAGCCACTGAACTATTGTGGCTCGTCTATTTGTTGGTTTATATCCATACATAGGTACCTAATCCTTACCAACAGCTAACTTTTGAGGAGATTTTCAGTCCCTGTGGGTTCTTGATCCTGTCAGATGAGAACCTGTCTTTCTGGGTATGGCCTTTGTACCATTATTGCGTGCATGGTACTGCTACTAGGCTGATTGTCTTTATCTGTTATTGAATATATATAGGCACATGGTGAAGGGACGGACACCTTGAATATGTTGCATCGCATCAGGTGCCAAACTCGACAAGAATCATGGCATGGTGTTTTCATGTTTTGAGTATAAGTTGAGATCTGTCAATGAAAATGTTTTGCATAGTGTAGAAAAGTGTAAGCTCCTGTTATACGGTTTCCTGCTTGATCGTGCGATTGAGAGGCGAACAGCTTGCCCAATAAATGTTACAGTTCTGTATGTAACAGCTGTGCGTCTGATGTCTTGCCGCTCCGGCTTTGATTATTATTGGGGGGAGAGATCGTTTCGTTAATTGATGAATAATTTTGCAAGTATGTGCGAGCTGCGAAGCACGATCGGTTCGTATGTATATTTTGAAGTTCAGACGACACACCGTGATGCATAGTTAACGGGTTACTTACTCTGGAACATAAATACACACGATTGCAGACGTGCAATGGTCCGAGCCCCTAAAACCGGTAGACCGCGCTGCCATCGGAATCGCTATGTGGACAACTGATTATGCTTCATTTGCTCCGACAAAATTAGCTTTTGCGGCGCTGGACGTAGAGCGATGTTTCATCGGGTTCTCGACGCTGTGACCCAGTGCTGTGGAAGCTGTTGTGGAGCATGCTGGGGCCCCGCAAACCGTCCCCAAATATCTAAAAGATTACTCGCTGATGGTCGTGTATAACTGCAGCTTGCATGTCTCTGTAACAAAGTGCGGGATATATTAAAAAAAAAAACCCTCTGGCACGGCGGAAGAAACTCCATCAAAGTAGTACAGGTGTCCCGATTCTTAACACCATTCCTGTATGCTTCAGCCAGAATTACTAATTTTTGAGAAATGCGCTATGATGTTATTACTGATCCCCCTCTATTGATCTGGTCATTTATGCCTGTTTTTCTGACTGGTCCGAGCAGCCCGCTGGAGGGACCCAGACGCCCCCCAAACTGCAGCCTCGTTTCCAAATACTAAGGTCGAGAACCAATTTGGCATTCGGCTTGCTTCTGGTGCTTCTGCAGCAAACCAATTTTTGACCACTGCCCTAAGCTTGTGATCCGAATTATAACCAGGGACATTCCATTCCGTCTTGATGATCTTGACGTTTGGTTCTGTTGTCAAGTTTAATAATATTCTGCCGTCTCCATTTATCCACTCCAATGGAGCGTCCCCCGCGAGGTCTCTATCGATGAAGATCGATCATTGTTGCACTTTTCCGTGGGAGCAAGAAGAGAGATTTCAACGATGTTTCAGGCGGACTCCTAGCCGAGTGTTAGTTAACTACCCTTGTCGGCTTCAAGGGGGTCTTTCTAAAGGTTGGCGCGCCGCTTCGCCCTGCTAATTCCCCAATAGTGTTTCGTGGCTTTCTATGGTGATATTTGAGTCGCGATGTTTCCTGGAGCACAACGGAATTTGACATGGTCATTGCAAACCTTCACGTTTTAAGATTTCTGCGACCCATATATCTATTCCTGGGCGTTTTATATTTAACGGCCAGGAATTACTGCATATTTCAAGGGCGTGCAGAGAACTCGCTCCCTATTCTGCTCGTTCGGATTTCATCCGTCAAGGTTCCCAGCTAAGTTTCCACCCGTGAGCGCCCTCTGGTGCCACGAGTTGACTCCAATCAAGTTCGGGTCCCGAATAGGTGGAGGGTTTCAACTGTGATCGGGACCCTTTCTTCTCGCTAAAATAAACGCTGTAACAAAACGTATGGGGTGAAGAAAAAGAGTTATGGCGTGGGTTCTCGTAACAATGTGTTGCACCTTTGCTGCTCTCGGTTCATTCCTATTTGGCTACGATTCAGGTATCATCTCTTCCAGTATTGCTCAAAAAGACTTTGTTCGGAGGTTCGAAGATCAATTGAACGATGCCTCAACAGGTGGTATTGTTTCAGCCTTCACAGGTAAGAATTGGATTTCGCTTCTATTTCTGGTCTCTAAACGTCCAGATAAGGAGTTGGGATAGCTAATTTTATGATAGGAGGAGCTATAGTTGGGTCTCTTGGGGTATCCTATGTATCTGACACATACGGCAGACGGATAGCCATTTTTGTTGGCGGAATCTTGGCAACTTTTGGGGCTTCATTGCAGGGAGCTTCTTATACAATTGCGATGCTAATTGCAGGGCGATTTATTGCTGGAATAGCGATAGGGCTAATGTCTGCTACCATTCCTGTATATTGCGTACGTCCCACAGCCCTCTGATGTTCAATAGATAAGCAGTCAACGGAAAAGGGAATTTTCAAACAGCTTGGTAATTGCGGTTAACCTGTGTATATGATAGTCGGAAATAGCACCTCCGCGTATTCGAGGTCTCCTTGGAGGCATGCAACAGTGGATGCTTGGATGGGGTTTCTTCGTTGCAGTATGTCCCTCCCCATCAAGCGTTTCCTGCTCTACCAACCTACCGTGACTACATTCAGCAACGAATAGTCAAATCAGCAAAAGGTAACACGGTATACTAGCAATGGGTCGGCTTTGGAAGCTCCCACTCCAAGAGCTCCTTTTCCTGGCGCTTCCCCCTAAGTCTCCAAGCATTCCCCGCCGTGATCCTTGTAGGCGGTGCCTTATATCTTCCCGAATCTCCTCGCTGGCTTATTGAGCACGGTCAGTCCGAGGCTGGCCGTGATGTCCTGGTCCGCTTACATTCAAACCACACCCATCCCAACACCTCCCTCATTGAACACGAATACAAACAAATCTGCGACACCATTGCTCTCGAACAACGCGAAACCTCAAAATCCTGGCGAGAAATACTCATCAATAACCGAAGCTGGCGCCGCCGCATTCTCCTCGCCAGTATTATCCAAGCCCTGACTCAATGCTCCGGTGTCAACGTCATCCAATATTACGGTCCTCGGCTATACGCCTCGCTCGGATTTTCTATCTCGCGCTCTCTAATGATAATCGGCATATCCGGCGCTCTCGCGCAGACTTGGAATACGCTATGCCTTGTGTTTATTGACGTCATTGGTCGACGCAAGCTTCTCATTCCCTCCTTACTCGGCATGGGCGCAGCCTTGTGCGTTGAAGCTACGCTATCGAACTACTTCAAGCCGGATAGTTCAACGAACAAACAAGCTCTCCGCTCCTCCGTTGCCATGTACTTTGTCTTTTCGTTCTTTTACACATCGCTTGGTGTGATATCGTGGATATACCCTGCCGAGATATTCAGCATGCCAATCCGGGCGCGCGGAACATCTGTCAGCACATTCGTTAATTGGTCTTTCAATCTCCTGTTTGCACAGTGTGCACTGGTTGGGCTGTCCAGAATTCAGTATCGGTTTTTTTACTGCTTTATGGCGTTTAATTGGGCTGGAGCAGTAATAGTTTGGTTATGGTTTCCGGAAACTGTAGGGAAGTCATTGGAAGAAGTAGAAGAGGTGTTTACAGACAGAAAAGTCAGACAGACAGCGATTGGGGAGCACAGTGTAATTAGTCCTAGTAGCTGTGGGAAGGAGTCTTTGGTTATCTCAAGTTTTAGTGAACAGACGAAGGCAGCCGTCTAACTGGGGAAATGGGGCCGGGAGGCCTTTGTGCGTATGGGGTTGTTGTGGGGTTCCGTCATTTAATATTTGTATATATTTTTGGTCCGTAAAAATTAATTGGATATCCTAGTATAAATGGCGATAATCCCTCCCCCCCACTTCATCAGATCGAATTTTTATGAGCTATCGTTAAGGGTGTCCGTTATTTGCATTTGATCACCCCCACAGCATAGAGATGGAGTAAGGATAACAACATGTAGCAACCTCAACCTCGCCCTGTCATTTTTCCAGGCTTTAGGTAACACAACGGAGGAGACACCCCATGCGGAAATATTTCCTCCCAAAACACTTATCCTCATTCATTACTCAGTCGGGTTTATTTGGATAGAAATAAAGTTGTAACCTTATTTAAGGTTATTTTTCATTGTTGATTGACCGATCAATTATTCTTGGCGCCCCACTCTATTCAAACCTTAAATATACCTCGCCTTTTGTTATATATTATATTTTATGTGCAACTCGAAAATTTCTCTGTAATGAGACTTCGAGGGGTTTCTGATTGAGTGTCTCCTAAGGGGAAAAGCACTTTCATAAATGGCCCGTATTTATCCTACAAGATAGCCAACGCTGCCTTCCCCCTGCCTTCCCTACTGGGTTGGAGCGAAGTCCTGTTGAAGCACTGCATTTACCTGCATTGCAGACATGTCTGAACTACCTCATCCTTATTTTGTTTCAGCGGCATGTAGAAATCAGCGGCCTAAGAGTCTTATATCCCACGATCCATTTATTTTGAGAAGGACATTAAATATGATCAAAAGTTACAATCAATTCAACATATGCGGGCGGAAAAGTATACTTTACTAACCTACTAAAGACTTCTGGCCACTTATATTTTGGCTTCCATATAAGTTATCCACCAATCATTGTTATCAAAGGAGTCAGAAAAGCAAAGAAGCAAATAAATACGAGGGTACGTTAGAAAGCGAGGTGATGCCTTGATAGATGATAAGATTGAAATATGGGCCACATATCCTCCCCGGCATAAAATTTTCAAACTCGCGGAACATGTAACCTTTAATGACGGAACTGACGTAATATGCATAACAGCCTGAAAATCAAAACCCAAAACAAAGCATCATGTGATGAAGCAGGTCATGAAGTAGTAGGCAATGTTGGGACGGCTAGTTAGCTTCTGAGGGGGCGGTTATGCGCGATGGTGTGGATATACAGTCATATGCCGACAAGTCACGTACCAGCGAGGCGGGTCGCAGGGAGGAACTCCAAGATTTCTATTCCAGAAAGACCCTTGCTCACAAAACCAAAAAATTGAAGCATTTGAACGAAGAAAATTGGCCACCAGCAGGATCTTTCCATCAAAGCCTTTCTATTAAGAATCGGAACAAGGGCATCTGCCAGGCCACCTAAGGTATTGATCGATAGAACTAATGACAGGAAGACAAGACAAACGGTACGTGGTATCAACCAAAGGGCTCCTACAGTACCGGCAACCTGCTGGAAAGCAAAGGCAGACAACAAAGCGGACCCGGAGGTGACCTTCATTTTGAAAGAGTGGCAAACTCTAATGGCTTAAGATTAGAAGACTTAAAGTGGGATATCATCGATACTTCAAGATATGAATGCGAATCAACTTACGAAGCGACAGTGCAGTTTCAGGATTAACGAATGACAGCTTCAATAGAAGAGTGACGACGTAACTAATACCGAAATTCTTGCAGGAAGAACTCTGCACAAAAAGGTCGTCATGATCTGGGGATCTAGCCTCTCTTTATACCATCCTTAGGCCACACCGAAAACAAAGGGACAAACCCTCTACTCCGCTGTGCTGCCACCAGCAAGATCGTAGAAGGCTCTCAGGGACAGGACTAGACGCTGTGTTCCAGCTCCGCAGCTAGATAACTAGTTCCCTGAGATTGATTCCGGCGACGGCTTGGAGGCCTGGCAGCATGAATGCATGTTAGTTGGTTTCTTCTCTAGGTATTGTTTGCACACCTCTCCTTGGCCTTTGTGTTGATATTAACGGGATAAAACTGATGCAAAAGATGAGGACTTCAGGAAGACAACACCACCATGTCACTGCTAAATCCTTCCTGGAACTCTGTGACCCGGCTGGCCCTAACTACTATCAATCACCATCACTCAAAGCATCAAGTGAAATGGTTACCTAGGTGTTAATAGTCTTGCGTGTAGCCAGAGTGTGCATGTAGAGCATATTTGAAAAGGCCAAATATTCTCTTCTTCTCATGCGTTCTTCTTCTCATGCGTTCTTCTTCTCTTTTCTGGTCCTTTGATATTCTTCCGAGTAATCCTCTGCATATTTTCTGTTTACATGCGGCGCAGCAGTCTAAGGCGTTAGGGACTGCGGTGCCAAGGCATTCTCTCTCGAATCTTTGTTTCAATCAAACAGAACAAAGTTTTTCTGCTTCTTTGTTCATTGATTCAAACAAACATCTAGCATGAAATTATGAGATTGAAATGAGATTAATTCCCGAGGACATCTTTATGAAAAACTTTGCAGCAGATAAAACGTCACAGCCATTGTATGACAGGAAATTCCCTGATTGATATAGGTATCAACATTTCTCCCCCTAACTCACCACCACTTTCCGATACCGGATTGATTTTCCTGACAATTCTCCGTAGGAGAGAGTTTCATAGTAGAAGGAACGCTTGTTGTCTAGATCAACAAAAGTCCAGCAGTCACATTCTGTGAGAAAAAGAAAGGTTTGCCTGCAAAGGATAAGTTTGGGTAGATCAACTCCTGCGAACTCTTCATTGCAGGTTGGCCAGAGCTGCCAGGGACGAGTAGAAAGTGAGACAGGATGGGTTTTGAAAGCCTTAAAAAAACACATACTCTTAACAAACTGTGTCAGTGGATGGTTTAGCATTGGCGCAGTTTTTCATGAAATGTAGAGAGCACTTTCAAGCTTTCTGGTAACTGCCCGAGCGGAACTGACAAAGTCCACAAAAAGTACTTTGAAGAAACCGTGGAAATGGTTTGTTTATTTTGAGTGGGATAAGGTAACTCAACTAAGGTTTATGGGTCGGCGGTTTCGGACCGAATAGTTAACTTAGTAACGTTAACTGGCCAAACCTTGATCTTAGATTTCTTGTCTTGAAGATCTAGCTACGGAGCAGATAGACAGACGTCTTGCGAGTATTATTCAAGGAATATCACTAGTAAAGGTAGAATGTAATCGAACATTTAACATTGAATATACCAATCAACTATAACTTCCATTGGCAATTATTTCCACCAACGTTTATAGTTTCTGTATATACAAGCTTTCAAACCCAATATCCCGAGAGCTATGAAATAATCGATTCCGCTTCCCAATACAGTGGTGAACTGTGCGAATTGGAAACATCCAGCCGTAGAAAGCATGGGTAAGGGGGGAGAAAGAGATCAAAAAGGGGGAGAGGTGCGAAATAACCAAATGAATATCATTGTTGGTTTGCTTGACGTTTTAAAATCAACAAAGGATGGGAGAGAAAAAAATTATATTGTAGGATGGAGATTTGGGCTTGTTTGAGAGAATGAGGGGAAGGGGGTGACAGGGACGCATGCAGCTCATAAATAAGCAAACTAGACACAGAAATTCTCGTGCTGGTAACCACCGGAAGGAGAGGGAATTTTGAAATAACATTTGGGGCGGAGGTTCGTAAAGCCAAAATGCGAAACACAAAGGAACTTGCAACGAAGATTTGGGAACATACAAGCTGATGTATAACAAAAACACATAGACTTCATCAAAACATTCTGCCCTACCATTATCATGAAAATTCAGAAACAAAAAAAACATATTATCATTGATATTCCGATAAACAGTTTTCTCTACAAGAGAATAAAAATAACAATAAGAATAACAACGAAAGAAGGTATGATACTGCAAAACACCTTAGGGCTGAGCAACACTCATTGTAACAGCGGCATAATATAACTCGTTAAGGGCGCTGCGAGAATCTCCTGCCTCAACTCATTTTCCCATGGAGGAACCATTGTCGTTTCCGCCGTCAGCATTAAGAATGAGAAAATACATTCATTAAGCCGCTCCCACGACGGCCTACTAAGTCGTTTTGCAATCTTAAGCATTCTCCCGACAAACCACGGTCGAGCAGAGGGGAGGGGTTCGAGTTCGAGTTCCCGTTCACGTTCCGATCCCGGTTTCATTGTCGGAGTCTCCATGCTCATTGGCTGCCGCTGTTGAGCAAAAGTCGGATAATCATAGTCATCATCACTGTTGATGAAACCAAACGTATCATCACATGCCAGTAGGATTTGCAGGAGTGCTTCGACAGAGTTGTTAAGATTGATTTCGCTTGCAATGAGTTGGCGCTGCAGGCCATCTAGGAACAATTCGGCTTTGTGGGGGAGGTGGCGATAGTCCCATAGGGCGGCGTTTATCATCATTAGCGCTGCAAGACGGGATATTATTTGCTTTCTTTCTCCGGGAATGGAGTAGCGGATTCCTGGTGGGGAGGAGAGAATTCGGAATAACAGGGTATCTGGTTGGAATGCTGAATAACGGGTGGGGAAAATTCGGTGGAGGTTTGAGGACTTATGTGCGAAGGATAGGCGCTCGGAACGGTGGAGGAAGGAAAGGAATTCTTCGCATTGGCTGTGGATTTCGTCAATGGGGGAAAGAAAAGATTGATTTCCGGTAATTATAGGTTGGCTCGGAGAGCTTTGGGACTGCGGAGTGGTACGTTCGTAGAAGAACGAGGGACCTTTCGTCTCGTAGCCTGCTAGTATATAATCTTGCCAGTTGATTAACATGGCCAGCCTTTGATTCTGTTGAAAAGCAGCAGGTCCTCCTCTAGCACGAATCTTCTCCATCGCGGCACGCATGTGGATCCAGCTTATTGGCTTTCGCTCCGGGCGTGGATCGAAGTCTTCCACCGCAGCACAGCTAAGGGTTGCAGAGATGGCGGTATCTGAGTTGTCTGTGGGATACTTCTCAAAATGCTTCCGTAACATTTCGATACCACGGGCACGATGAGTAAGGGCTGCTGGCGTCTCTGACAGTCCCTTTACCCACGCCTGCGTATTGGCTGCATGTACGAGAATGGTGTTCTGGAATGATATATCCCCCTTCATGGCTTCCGGTATGAAAACAAGACTGTACCAGTTATGCTTGGGTGACTTGGTCTCGAAACCATATGAGCATGACGGCATCACATTAGCGTAGAAATCGAATAAAAATTTTGCCTCCTCGTCAAGCGACATCGGTAAACTGTCGAAAGGGTCAGTTCGCGCTGCGCTAAGCAGTGTCTGCGGAGTTGGAGATAAGCGCCTAGGTGACACGGAGCCAGAAGGTGACCACGAGGATAAACTGAGCAAATCAGAGGATCCGCCGCTGCTTTGAAATCCGGCGTCATAGGTTGCTTCTGTCTGATAGTCATCTCCTAACGGTCCATACCAGAACGATTGCGCGGCTGATAGAGGAAAGCTACCATCTTCGAATGGTTCATATTCCCATTCTGGGCCAGCTGGACGCAGAGGTATTGGACCGGCTAACCGCCCCAATGCAGAGGATGTCTCCCAGTTAATGTTGTTGAAGTAAACATCATCGAACGTGTGTTCCGGTTCATCCGTTATCTTCAGGTCCGCATAATCCCGATATTTGCCATCTTCCTGGGGAGGAACTAGCCGTTGCGATTTCTGGGAATCGCGGGCTGCCCCTTGTTTCTTCACTTCTTCATCATTATGACCACTACTAGATCCAACATGTGTCTTTCCCTTCCGATCATTTGATGCTTGTCTTCGTCCTCGAGGGCGCCGTACTGACCAATTTCCACAACAAGGTCTATCTTCCTCCCCCGCATTTAAATCAACATCACCGTCCGCATCCGTGTCCTGTCGTTGCTGCTCCTTCCATTTTTTTTGACGCGCATATTCTAGCATGACATGGCGCTTGACAGTTGTCAAACTTGCCGGATTGTTTGCTGATGCATCAATGAATTTATATCGCTTGGGAGGGTTGAGGGGTCGGTTGGAAGGAGAAGAGGAGGAAGGTGACGGATCATTTGCAGGATCAGACATGGTAGCTGGGCTTGTGGAAAGCAGTTAGGGAGTTGGAGGTCATTTGGTTAACGACTGGAAGGTTGAGAGTGGATTTATAATTTATACAGTTGTTCGTGCGACTCAAACCACAGCGGAACGCATTGGGGGCGGCGGACTCCGGGGCGCTGCGGAAGGCTGAAAGGAGCAGGCCACAGGTGAGTAGCAAACAGAGAATAAAGATAGAGTAACCCCGTAACTAGAGGTAGTCGGAAGGATATGGCCAACTTATTGAGGAGAGGGGAGTCAGCGGTCTTGTAGATCGAGGTATCAGAATGTTAACGCGGGAGATCCTCTGTATCGTGGGGCAGCAATGGAAACGTCCACTCTTGGTATTAGTTCACGTATATTTTAATTAGTTAGTTACTCTAGTCTGTGTCTTCCTACCAGCATATAGTTAAAGGGTCAACTTGCAAACCTGGAGACTGGAGCGCAGCGAGAACTCCCGTCGCCAACAAGCAGGTAGCGCATTATTGCCAATGGCCTGGACCTGGTTTTCCTGCCAGCGATAAATCTAACTACCCTAGAGCAAGTCAACGTTAGCTGCAGGCTGATGAATAACGTTTGAAAGTTGCGACTGGCGCAAGTTTGAGATGAAGCAGCCGAGTTGGATGTTAATCGTGCCTCCGCGCACCCACACCTGATGTGGGTGCGCCACAGTGTAATGATAAAAACAGTGTAATGATAAAAATATCAACTTCTTTATTAATCAATCTTCAAATACTAATATATCACCACCACCATGACCAATAAGATAGATGATCTTGAAAAATGTATTCAGAGTGTCATTGAAGTCTATAATGACAATTGAAAACAGAAAATCCTACCTCTGGCATGCAAATTCAACATTTTTTATCAATATCTTTAAGCAAGAATCAATGGAAGAAAAACATGCAATGCAAAGACTGCACTGAACAAGAAGCTTAGCAAGAGTCAGAAGGATGTGTTAAAAGAGTGAATAGCTCATATGGACAGAAATAATTGTCTGCTGACTGCAGAGCAAATTCAAAATATCATGAATCTCATTCTCAAATATCATTATACTGATTTTTTAACCTCCTCATCTGTGGTCAGCAAGATGTGGACCTATCAATATATACAAAGCTTGAATGGGTATAAAAGGGTTAAGCAGAAAACAATGAATCTGAAAAGAATTGCTGTTGAGGATATTAGCTACATCAAGATGTGATTTGATCAGTTGAAAATTTTACTTCAAAAATACACATTTTAAACCTGTAATATCTACAACTTTGATGAAATTGACTTTCAAAAGGGTCAAAAATGTGGAGAATGAGTTATTACTGCTTTTAAAAACTTTAATTCAGTTATAACTTCATCATATTCTCAAGAATTGATCACTGTGATTGAGTATATTTCAGCAAATGATGAAATATTGAATTCTTTCATCATCATGAAATTCAAAACTCAACTTGAAGATTAATATATACAAAGTAATCTACCAGATGAATATACAATCACAATAATAAATACTAGCTATATCAATGATGAGATTGACTTTGCATAAATTCAGCATTTTAATAAGATCTTTAAAAAACATCAGCAAGATAGTCATCAATTACTGCTTCTTGACAATCATAAATCTCATCTTACTGAAGAATATTTACAATACTGTAATTTTCACAAGATTATTCTATATAAATTTTCTTCATATTCAACTTATATATTACAATCTCTAAATGATATATCTTTTCAGCAATATAAGCACTATCATTCAAAAACAGTTAATTAAGCTGTATGATATAAATATGAGCAGTATGAAAAACATCAATTCTTACAGAATTTAATTAATGTCTGCAAAATGACTTTTCAATCTTCTATTATTTGAGCTGATTTTATAAATTGTGGCATTGTCTCATTCAGCTTACAATCTATACTGCTTAAGTTAGATTCAAAAATCTCTGACTACTCTGAGTTGTAAATATATAAAGAAAACTTCTTTTCACTGTAATTAAGTTATTCAAATACTACTTCATCACAGCTATTCTCACTCAAAACAATTGAAAAGCTATAATATCATATTCAAATAACAAAGAAGAAAATGCAAGATATGAAGAATACATTTGATTTCAAATCACCTTATCTGAGCAATCAATTGAACAAGATTTTCCAAGGTATTTTTATTTAGATAAAACTCAATGCTATAAGAGAGAATAAAATTGAAAATTACTATCTTGCAATCAAACACTGCAGCATTAAAAATACATGTCAGCAGGTTCAAGTAGAAGGTATACTCACTGTCAGAGATATGAATAGAAAGATCACACAATGTAAAAAGGAGGAAGCAGAAAAAGAATATTATAAAAAAGTTAAATATATTGAGAGAGCTTTGAAGAAAAATACCACAAATTCAACTCAACAAGAGGTTAATGATATATATGAACATCTTGCAAATAATACAGCTACTACAGATGATATAGATAAATTAATTATCATAGATTAGCAGTGTGGTGATGAGATATTAATTTTTGAAGTTCTAATTATCTATATTTTTATCATTACACTGTTTTTATCATTACGCTGTGGCGCACCCACATCAGGTGTGGGTGCGCGGGGCACGATTAACCGGGCCCTAGAGGTTTAGTAAGCTACCGCTCACCTGCAACCTGCTGGTCGGGCCCTCGTAAGAGGGCCCGCCATCTCAACGCGATTATTTTCAAAATATGATTATTTTTGCAAATCCCTGTTCTTAATATGCAATAACCACCCAACGTGATGTCTTCTACATATATTTTAATAGAGAATAAGATCGCAGATGCATTATCTTCAATATCCAATGTTGAAAATCCCAATATTAAAGCATTGGCGTGAAAATTTGAAGTTCCCTACTCCCGGCTGCTGAATCGTTATAATGGTCGCGTCTCTCAAATTGAATGAACCCCTGCTAATTGACTATTATCATCTGGCCAGGAAAAATCACTCTGTTTCTATATAGAATCCCTAGATAAGCTAGGCCTACCTCTCAATCATTCAATGATCTTTGGTGCTGCCAAATTTCTACTTGCGCAGAGTCATACCGATCTCACCACACCTCCACCCGGGCTTGGAGAGCACTGGGTCAAAAGATTCCTTCAACGTCATCCAGAGTATAATGTACGCAAGCAAAAGACCATTGATATACTGCGGAAACAGGCTCACTAATCTTCATTCATTCTTGATTGGTTTAACCGCTTTAAGGAGATAAAAGAGAAGCATGGGATCCAGGACTGTGATGTCTACAACTTTGATGAAACGGGGTTCAGAATAGGAATCGGCCGTGATCAGTGGATTATAACGCGAGATCCTCGGAGGATAACCTATGTTGGCAGTTCAAATAACAGGGAAACTCTTACAATCATTGAAGGGATTGCAACTGATGGCTTTACTATCTCTCCTTTATATATTCTCACTGCAAAGCAGCTACAAGAGCGGTGGACAGATGAAATAGAGAAAGATGCCATGATAGCTACGTCCGACACTGGCTATAATAATGATCAGATCTCTTTTCAATGGATTCAGCACTTCCATCGCTCCACCTAAGCCCGCATCAAAGGAACCCACCTTCTGCTTCTATTAGATGGATTTGATTCTCATTGCACCCTCGAATTTATGACTTTTTGTGACAAGCACAACATCATACCTTTCTATTTAATTCCTCACACTAGTCATCTTTTACAACCTCTGGACGTTGGTGTTTTTCAGGCTTTTAAACATCATCATTCTGCCGCAGTCGAGGAAGCTACGCGACGTGGTTGTGAGAAGTTCACAAAGGTTGAATTTCTTCATGCTATCACCTCTATTTGGAAAGCAACGTTCAAGGTTCATACAATCAAGCAAAGATGGAAAGCAACTGGCCTGGTTCCATTCAATCCGTCAGTTGTCCTTAATAAATTACGTGAGTTTGAATCAACTCCTATGGAATCCAAGGGGTCTGTTTCCACCGACTCAGAGACCTGGTATACTCCTTCCACCATACACCAATTCAATCGATATAAGCGGAAACTGGAGGCTTTGGAGGAGGATGACAACTATGACGCGGACTATATTTATATGGGATTACAAAAGCTTTATAAGGGTAGTATTGCAATGGCCAATACAGTGGCTCTTTTGCAGGAGGAGCTAGCTCAAACCTCTGCTGCCACGTTGGCTCGAGAACGCCGCCTCCGCGGCTCGCGGAGGGTGGTTAATAAGGGAGGTGTCATATCCGCAAGCTACTGCCGCAAAATGACGGCAATTAATAAGAAGGTTGATATGGAGGAGGCATTGGAGAAATTGCGGCCAAAATGGAAGAGGGTTATGAAGGAACTTAAGAGGTATTGCAGAGATAAAGGCATTTATGTGAATGCCACCAAATTTACAAGGAAATCTCAGAGATAATTCATTTACACTATAATCTACTTGTATATATAAAATATAGAGCAATTCGTTGAAAAATTAGTTGAATGTCATGGGTATAGGCAGGCAGTAACGTTGAGATGGCGGATTACATTGAGCTGGCGGGCCCTCGTAAGAGGGCCCGACCGGCAGGTTGCAGGTGAGCGGTAACGTAAACCGCCACACAACGCACGCCGCCACACAACGCACGCCCCAAAAAGCCGATTTTTGAACCCAACCTTCCACCTTCAATCATCTACAACATGCCAACCAAAGAAGCTGTAGAGCTCGCAGTGGCTGAATTCCTTTCGCAAGAGGCTGGCAATTATACTACTGTTGCAAAAAAATACGGAATTCATCGAACTACGCTTATGCGACGCGTTACGGGCAAATCAGTGTCTCGAGAAACTGCCGACTCCCTATATAGACAGAAACTTACGAACTCTCAAGAGGAAGAGCTTATTCGATATATAAATCGTCTTACGGACCGTGGCTTTCCTCCTACACCTCGAATTCTTCAAAATCTAGTTGAAGAAATCCTTCAGGAGCCGATTGGCGAGCATTGGATCTCTAGATTTTGTCAACGCCACAAGGATCGCATCAAAAGCCTA